GAGCGCTGGCTGCTTCGGTGGCGGGGCGCACAGGTGACACCAGACAGGGGATCTCTGCCAGCTCTGTTGGAGGCTCAGGGATGCTGGGCCACTTGCTGGCTGCTTGCTTCTCTCCGTCCTTCGCACTGCTTGGGCTGGGCTGGCGGTGCAGCATGCGGATGCGGTATTCCCGAAGGCTCAGGGCCTTGGGCTTGGCTTCCTTGGGCAGGCTCTTGCTCGGCTCTACTGCTGGTAGGCTCTGGGGGGACTCCAGCCCCATGCCTTGCTCTGGGAGTGAAGAGGCAGCTTTCAAGACCCCACTGCCCTGTCTGGCAGCCAACTGTGCATCCCCTTTGTCCTCAGCCAGGTCCACTGGGCCAGGACAGGTTGCTGCCACCAGCTCCTCTGTGTTTGGTGCAGCCTCCTCTGGAGGCACCACAGTCTCAGCTTTCTCCAGAGGCACCACAGTCTCAGCCTTCTCCAGGGCCATACTCACAGTTTCTGGCACTGGCTCCTTCTGTGGCTCCTGCTGCACTTTATCAGGCAGGGAGATCCGCGCCATGCTCCGAGGCCTCCGTGGGGGTGGTGGTGCTTGCTCGCCACACAGCTCCACCTTCCCCTCCTTCCGGGCTTGCTCCAGCTGCCGTGCCAAGAAGTCTGAGACCTGGACAGAGGGACGTGTTGCCCGTCGCTGACTGCTGAGTGGCAAGCCTGGGGGTTGCCCAGAGCCAGCTGAGCGAGGGCAGTGGGCCACACAGTCCCTGCCTGGCCTGGTCTGCTTGCTTTGGTCCTCCTCTGCTTTCTTTTTCCGACTCTTCCTTGCTCTCTCTCGGCCGCGTCCTTTCTTGGAGCCCTCACGTTTGTCACCCACTGGGGCCTCTGTACTGCATTGGGAGCTGCTGTTGGGTCTCCGTGCACCAGGAACCGCTGCCTTCGGTCGGGATGCAGTCTTCAGGGTAGTGCTGGAGGACTCCTTCCCAGGTGGTTTCTCCTCCTTCTCCTCCTCCACCCCATTTTCCTGGGCTGAAGCTCCTGGCATCTCCTCTCGATCCTCTAGGACTGTCTCCCCAGTACCCTCCTCTGCTCCCAGGAGCTGTGACTCCAGATCAGGGAAGCTGGGGGCCAGTGGCTGCAGAACTACAGGGATCTCCAGGCTCTCCCCCTCACCAGGCACAATTTCTAGTAAGACAGGACCACTCAGAAGCTCCTTGGCCACTGGCTCGGTCTCGGGGTCCAGGCACACAGTGAAGGTGGGCAGGCAGTATGGGTGCATGGACTTCACCAGCTCACTCAGGGACACATCACCTGTGTTGATGATGCAGGGGTCTTCACAATCCTCCAGCACCGCCCTGGCCCCACTCATGCAATACTCCCCAGCCTGCATGCTGCTGCGTAGCTCAGGGCTCAAGGCAGCCTCCTCCTCCTCTTCTTCCCCATCACTGCGCTGCGGCAGGGGCTGCTCTCGGGCCCAGTGCCGGCCCAGCTTCCTCTCTACTCTCGGGGTGCTGCAGACTTGCTTCTTTGACAGTGCCAGGTCTTCAAGGCTGTGAGAAGCACGGTCCCAAACCAGCTCCGTGTCACTCTAGGAATGGGAACCAGAGCAAGTGTCAGCTCCTGGGTTTTCACCAGAGCCCCCCCAGGCACATGCTGTAGCTGCTACAACTCTGCAGCAAAGTCCCCAAGCAGTTGAAAAGCTGGAACATGTTTGACCCTCCCAGTAAGACACAACAAAGCTGGAAACCCACCAGCCCTATGGGGGCACCCACAGCATCCTCAGTCCCACAACACCCACCAGCCAGGGCAGCCCCTGCTCCCACTGCTGCCAATGCCCTGCAAAAGCATGACTTTTGGGTTAGGATGCCTGTGCCAGGCAGGCAGGCAGGCAGTGGCTGAGGGGCAGGAACCGGACACAGTTACCCCAGCACCACCCTGATGACACTCCCTCAGCTTCCCCTGCTCACCTTCCCAACCACAGAGACGCTGCTGCTGCTCAGAGGCCTGAGAGCCTTGGACTGCTCGAGGGCAGGGCTCTCACACTCCAGCGATGGACGGGACAAGCTAAGAAACTTCTGAAACTGGAGAGATGGAGAGAGGATGAGGTAGAGGCAGGTTTCTGCAGCCAGAGGGACACGCCATTCCCAGCCCTGCAGCTGCCAACAAGCAATCTCAGCCCTATTTCACCCAATGCACATGCAGCCCTAGGTCTGAGAAGAAGGGGACAAATTGCTCCCCAGAGCCTCCTGCACATCTCTGTCTCTATTCCAAAACTCAAGCCAAAGACCCAGCCCTCCAAGCTAACACTGGAGCCCCAGGGGTGTGGTTCAGCCTTTCTGTCACACTGCTGGTCACAGGAACCATCCCAGGGTGCTGGGGATCAGGGTCCTATGACTTCAGGGCACCTCAGTGCTAGGATCTGGCAGAGGTCTGCCTTAACATCTTCCCACTTGTTTTGGGGTTGGGCTGGCTCTGCCCCAGAACTTACCGAGGGATTCTCCCGCTCCCGAGGCGAGGTCAGCAGCTCCACATCCATGATGGTGTCGAAGGGAGACAGGGTCTCATCATCTGTGCTGTCCAGGATCTCCGTGATGGCAGTCAGCAAGGACAGCTCATTCTGTGCATCCAGGCAGGCCTTGCTCTGCTGCAAGGGTAAGGGTGGTCTCAGAGGGGGTTGGGGCACAGCCATGGGCGATGCTGCTGCCACTCCCACCACAGCTGGAGCCAAGCCAGACACCACTTCCCATGCCCACCTCACTCAGAGAGAGGTCCTCAATGATGGAGATCACAGAGGAGTCAAGATAGTTCTGCATCGTCCCCAGGACCTCTTCAGCTTCCAAGATGGTTTGTGCATCCAGTGACGTAAAGCTCAGGTTATCCTCCTCGAGGGAAAAGCACTGTCAAGGAGTACAGGGAGCCAGGTAAGCACTTTGCGAAGCAGCACTACCTGAACACTGCTGTCCTCTGCAGCACACGTGGACTCCCAACAGCCTGTGCTGCAAACAGTGGCCAAGGTCACTGCTGCAACCCCAAACATGCAGGGGGGGCAGGTGGGACATGGCCATGCTGCAGGTTGGAAGATGGCACAGAGGACCTTCTCTCCTTGCTTTTTGGGAGAGGTTTGGGCCAGTCCACCCCACTGCACAAGGCCCCGTGCCACTTTCAGCCCGAGAACCTTCTGACCACCAAGGATGCCGCCACACTGAAAACTCCCACTCAATTTGCTCCACAGCTGTAGGATTGGGAAAGATGAATCAATAAATTCCCAGCAATTCCCAGGCTCTGCCAGACACCATGCATCACTTGTGCTGGAGAGGGAGGGGACAGCAGGCTCCCCCCATCCCAAGGACTGTCACGCGCTCCTCTGACTCCAGTTGTTGGCAGTTCAGATAAGCCCAAAAACATTACAAAATTCATAACAAAAGCACAGGAGTCAGCAACAGGGAAGCAGCCAGCGGCCACTGCCAGGGCCCTACCCTGACACCTCTGCTGCAGGCTACAAGAGGACACAGGCTGTGCTCGTGATCTGGGATCAAACTGGCTTTGCTGCTGTTCTTCCTTCAAATTCCCAGCCCCACATCCTTTCCAGACCCCCAATCAGCTCCAGGGATGTTTGGGTACCACCTGACAAGTTCAGAAAGGTCTTTGCACTACACTCTACCATGCCATGCAACCCAGAGCTGCAGGGCAGCCAGGAAAAACAAGATGCCAGACAAGGGCAGGGACTGCAGCCCCTGGCTGAGCAGAGCCACCAGACACACAGCCTCTGCCAGAAGCAGAGCAGCAGCACAGGCGTGTCGCCGGCACAAGACAGGATGTGAATTCCTGTTTGCAGATGGACTTAGGCAGAGATAATGCAGGCGGGGAAGATAAGGGCACCAAGGACATAGCCCTGGGAGAGCACATCTCCTTCCCAAAGCTGATGGGGAGCACACAGCAACACATTCTCCCCCCACAACAGCATGGTGTAAATTTGGCTGGACTGTGGGGGATGTGCATTCAATGCTGCTCACCTGTGTTTCTCACAGGTATGCAGCTTACACAAGCCTGAGCCCAAGCAAGACAAAATGCACGCAAGACCTGCCTGAACTTTGAAATCTGAAGAGTTGAGACCCCAACATCAAATGCAATAAATCTTGATCAGTGCATACATGTCTCATCTGCTGTCCATTCCATTCGGGACACACCAGAGGGAGAACAGACATTTCACTAAATAGGTGTTTCCTAAAATGTGGCAGCACCAAAGCCATGTGCCCTAACCCCAGGGACTCTTCAGAGACTTGCCCTCATCAGACACGGCAGGCACCTCTAGCCACAGCACAGCCAGCAGCAAGCCCTGTGCAACCCTGGAGCACAGGCATCCCAGAACCAGGCTGGACATCAAAGCCAGGACCCCCAGAGCAATGCCCCGAAGCCAGCTGCCCCAAATCCCCCCAGCCTGTCACCGTGTGCTGACACAGCAGCACCAAAGAGCAGGAGGCTGCAGTGCCCTGGGGCTTGGCAGGCAGCTTGGCAGCCTGGGCACACTCTCCCAGGGCTCTCCATCCAGAAGCAGAGTCCACTGGTGACACTGGGGCACTGCTCCACCCTGCCATGCTGACCAGGCTACCAAGCAGTTTTACCACTCTGCATCCCCAGCCCCCTCCTTCAGCCAGCACTGGCTGCAGCTCAGAGCCCAGTGCAGAGCCCAGCAGCCGTCTAGAGCGCAGCCTGCCGCGATTCCCAGCCAATCCTCCTGGAGATACAGGGAGAAGCGGGAAAACACACCCAGCACCAGCGTGCAGCCCTGAGTCAGCAGTGACAGCTGGAGAAGCCAGCGGGAGGGACCTCATGGAACATCAGCAACTGAGGGACACAGAGGCTGGGTCACCTCTTGCTGGATGATGGAGCCGAAGTCCAGGGGATGCTCTCACCCGTCTGGCTACAAGCCTGACTCTCCCCAAAGGCAGCAGCTAATTAGAAGCTTCCAGCCATGACCCATGCTGGACATTTGAAGGGAGGGAAAGAAAATCCTCCCACAAAAATGGCTTCTTCCTGCAGCTCCTGCTCACAGCCCGGGAGGGAGGGAGGGCAGACGGGTGATCTTCCAAGTCCTCCTCCAATCCTTTGACTCAGCGCCTTGCAACAAGGAGTCCCACAGTGAGTCACCAGTGAATGAGGGTGCATTCCCCCAGGACTCCCTTTGATCCACCTGGGGCCGGGCACCTCCTTCAGCCCTGGCCGCTTGTGCACGAGTATGAACCAGCTCAGCCTGCTCCCACATCCCTGCCCACTCTCCTTCTGGCCAGAGACCCCTGTTTCCCCCAGCTCAGGGGGGAAGCAAGGAAGCCCACCGCCCCAGAGTGAGCTTCAGACACATGGGAATCTGGGATCCGAGGCAGCAGCCAACAGAGACGGCCTGAGCATGGCCACCAGCTCCTGTGGCACCCAACCGGAGCCGGGGATGCTGTGCTCGCTGCTGTGGTACCCACACCCGAGGCCCCTGCCCGTCCAAGCCGCGCCGGCAACGGGTGACACGTGTGCTCGGCATGTCGAGCCGGGGCTACGCCCCAAGCAGAGGGCGGCCATCCTCCCCACGGCGCTCCGGCTGGGCTCCAGCTCCGGGCAGAGGGCCAGGGCAGCTCGCACCTGGCCAAAGCTGCCGCCGTGGGCATGTGGCTGCTGCCCATGGGATGGGCCTGGGAATCTGGGGGCCCCAGCCGGTTGGTACGGCACCGGCAGAGGATGCTCCGTGCAATCCTTAGCTGCCTTCGCGAAGCGTCAGGTGCGAACACACCTTTTCTCCCCAAAAGCAGATCATTCCACCTGAGTAAAAGAGCGGCAAGAAGTGCTTGGTGTCCCCCCGCCCGGGCTCGGGGGGCTCCCCCGCAGTGCCCGCCCGGCCAGGCAGGAGCACCCTGGGAGGGGCAGAAACGTGGGATTCCCCGATATCACAACCAACACACAGCGCAGGTGCCCTCAAGTCCTGTCCGGGGGTGCTGCACCCCTCGCACCCCGTCCTCACAGCAGCGCACCCGCGCCCAGCACCGGCAGGGTC